ATTTGCGGCTGTGTAGGTGCGTGGAAGATTGTTTGGCATTATGGGTTTTAGAATGTGAGTGGCGCACATTGGACGAGAGAAGTGGAATAGCTTCGCTTTCCAGCAACGTTGGCGTTGGGCTTTCGAGGCAGGTCTTCGCAGCTGGGCAGTGTGGTCGTGTTGTGGTTCACTGGTGTGTGGAAGGAGCTGCTAGGATGCGTGGAAATGTTCAGCTGCGTTTGCAGCGCAGGAGAGGGGCATAGGATTGGGAGAAGAGGCGGCCGGTCTGTGGTGCCTTGCGGATGTAAGCGTTGTCAGTTGGATCGCAGTTGCAGTGCGTGTTGGTGCTGCAGCAAGCAGGGCGGGGCTGTTGAGAAGGGTTCGGAATTTGTGACCATCAGTGTACGTGCTGCAGCTAGTGTTGGCAGCCAGTGAGCCGCTGCATCGATTTCGCGGAAGGGCGTAGGCCTGGATGTTCAGCGGTGAGTGGGAGTAGGAGGGTGGTTTGTTTGCCGTTGGAGACTTGTTGATTTGCGGCTGTGTAGGTGGGTGGAAGGGAGTTAAGCGTTTTGAGGTTTAGGATGTGAGTGGGGCGCATTGGGCGAGAGAAGTGGAATGGCTTCGCTTTCCAGCCACTTTGCCATTTGAATCGTGAGGCAGGCCCTCACAGCTGAGCAGTGTGATTGTGTTGTGGTTCACTGGTGTGTGGAATGGAATGCTTGGATACGTGCAAATGAGAAGCTGTGTTTGTAGCGCCGGAGTAGAGCATAGGTTTTGGAGGAGAGGCGGCCGGTCTGTGGTGGCTTGCGGGTGTGATTGTTGTCAGTTGAATCGCTGTTGCAGTGCGTGTTGGTGCTGCAACAAGCAGGGCGGGGCTGTTGAGAAGGTTTCCGAATCTGTGACTATTAGGATACATGCTGGAGCTTGTGTTGGTGGGCAGTGATTTGCTGGTTCGGCTGGACAGAAGGGCGTAGGCATGGATGTTCAGCGGGGAGTGGGAGTGGGAGGGTGGTTTGTTTGCCGCCGGTGACTTGTTGATTTGCTTCTGTGTAGGTGGGTGGAAGGGTGTTAGGCGTTTTGGGTTTTAGATAGTGAGTTCGGAGCATTGGGCGAGAGAAGTGGAATGGTGTCGCTTTCGGACTGCTTTGCCGTTTGAGTCGTGCGGCAGCCTTCCGCAGCTGCACAGTGTGGTTGTGTTGTGGTTTCCTGTTGTGTGGAGGGAGGCACTCAGATGCGTGGAATTGAGGAGGTGTGTTTGTATTGCAGGAGTGGGGCACATGTTTTGGAGGAGAGGCGGCCGGTCTGTGGTGCCTTGCGGGTGTGAGCGTTGTCATTTGAATCGCTGTTGCAGTGCGTGTTGGTGCTGCAGCAAGCAGGGCGGAGCTGTTGAGAAGGGTTCGGAATTTGTGACCATCAGTGTACGTGCTGGAGCTGGTGTTGGTGGGCAGTGATTTGCTGGTTCCGGCTGGACGGAAGGGCGTAGGCATGATGTTCAGCGGGGAGTGGGAGTGGGAGGGTGGTTTGTTTGCCGTCGGTGACTTGTTGATTTGTGTCTGTGTAGGTGCGTGGGAGGGTGCTAGGCGTTTTTGGGTTTTAGCTAGTGAGTGGGGCGCATTGGGCTGGAGAAGTGGAATGGCTTCGCTTTCCAGCCACGTTGCTGTTTGAGTCGTGAGGCAGGCCTTCGCAGCTGCACAGTGTGGCTGTGTTGTGGTTTGTTGGTGTGCGGTGTGGGCCGTCGAATGCGTGCCTATGAGGAGCTGTGTTTGTAGCGCCGGGGTGGACCATCGGTTTTGGAGCAGAGGCGGCCGGTCTGTGGTGCCTTGCGGGTGTGAGCGTTGTCAGTTGAATCGCGGTTGCAGGTCCTGTTGGTGCTGCAGCAAGCAGGGCAGGGCTGTTGAGAAGGCTTTGGAATTTGTGGCCATCAGGGTACGTGCTGGAGCTGGTGTTGGTGGGCAGTGATTTGCAGGTTCGGCTGGACGGAAGGGCGTAGGCATGGATGTTCAGCGGCGAGTGGGAGTGGGAGGGTGATTTGTTTGCCGTTGGTGACTTGTTGATTTGCGGCTGTGTAGGTGCGTGGAAGGGTGTTAGGTGATTTGGATTTTAGGAGGTGAGCAACATGCATTGGGCGAGAGAAGTGGAATGGCTTCGCTTTCCAGCCGCTTTGCCGTTTGGTTTGCAAGGCAGGCGTTTGCAGCTGTGCAGTGTTGTTGTATTGTGCTTCACTGGTGTGTGTAAGGGTCTGCGAAAGCGTGGAAATGTTCAGCTGCGTTTGTAGCGCAGGAGTGGGGCATAGGTTTTGGTGGAGAAGCGGCCGGTCTGCGGTGCGTTGCCTGTGTGACCGTTGTCCGTTGAATCGCAGTTGCAGTGCGTGTTGGTGCTGCAGCAAGCAGGGCGGGGCTGTTGAGAAGGGTTCGGAATTTGTGACAATTAGGATACGTGGTGCAGCTGTCGGTGGGGAGTGATGTGCTGGTTGGCTGGACGGAAGGGCGTAGGCATGGATGTTCAGCGGCGAATGGGAGTGGGAGGGTGGTTTGTTTGCCGTTGGTGACTTGTTGATTTGCGGCTGTGTAGGTGCGTGGAGGGGAGTTAAGCGTCTTGGGTTTTAGCTAGTGAGTGGGGCGCATTGGGCGAGAGAAGTGGAATGGATCCGCCTTGCAGCCGCTTTGCCGTTTGTGGGTGCGATGCAGGTCTTCGCAGCTGCGCAGTGTGGTTGTGTTGTGCTTTCCTGTTGTGTGGAGGGATGCACTCAGATGCGTGGATATGAGGAAGTCTGTTCGTATTGCAGGAGTGGACTATCCGTTTTGGTGGAGAGGTGGCCGGTCTGTGGTGCCTTGCGGGTATGAGCGTTGTCCGTTGAATCGCAGTTGCAGTGTGTGTTGGTACTGCAGCAAGCAGGGCGGAGCCGTTGAGAAGGGTTCGGAATTTGTGACAATTAGGATACGTGCTGGAGCTGGTGTTGGTGGGCAGTGATTTGCTGGTTTGGCTGGACGGAAGGGCGTAGGCATTTTCAGTGGAGTGTGGGAGTAGGAGGGTGATTTGTTTGCGGTTGGTGACTTGTTGTTGTTGTTGATTTGCGGCAGTGTAGGTGCGTGGAAGATTGTTTGGCGTTTTGGGTTTCAGCTAGTGAGTGGGGCGCATTGGGCGACAGAATTGGAATGGTTCCGCCCTGCAGCCGCTTTGCAGCTTGTGGGTGCGAGGCAGGTCTTCGCAGCTGCACAGTGTGGTTGTGTTGTGGTTTCCTGTTGTGTGGAGGGAGGCACTCAGATGCGTTGAAATGAGAAGCTGTGTTTGTATTCCAGGAGTGGGCCATCGGTTTTGGAGGAGAGGCGGCCTGTCTGTGGTGCCTTGCGGGTGTGAGCGTTGTCAGTTGGATCGCAGTTGCAGTGCGTGTTGCTGCAGCAAGCAGGGCGGGGCTGTTGAGAAGGGTTCGGAATTTGTGCCAATCAGGATTGGTGCTGGAGCTGGTGTTGGTGGGCAGTGATTTGCTGGTTCGGCTGGACGGAAGGGCGTAGGCATGTTCAGTGGAGTGTGGGAGTAGGAGGGTTGTTTGTTTGCCGTTGGTGACTTGTTGATTTGCGGCTGTCATCCACCGTGGAAGATTGTTTGGCATTATGGGTTTTAGAATGTGAGTTTGGCGCATTGGGCGAGAGAAGTGGAATGGCTTCGCTTTCCAGCAACTTTGGCGTTGGGCTTTCGACTGAGGTCTTCGCAGCTGCGCAGTGTGGTTGTGTTGTGGTTCACTGGTGTGTGGAAGGAGCTGCTAGGATGCGTGGAAATGTTCAGCTGG